TACGTATATATATACGTATATATATATTAGTATATGTGTGTGTGTTTATATATATATATATATATATATATATATATATATAGTGTGTGTGTGTGTGTGTTAGTTACGTTATATATATATATATATATATATATATATATATATGTATATATATATATATATATATATTGTCTCGTCTTGTAGCGATAGACAAAAGCTCATATGTACACGTACGTATGCATTACAATCAAGATCGTTCTTTCAAGTTCTAGTTTGTAACTCACCTCGTCTCATCATTTGCCTACCGCAACTGAAGTATTTTCTTCTCTCACTCTTCAGCTGCTGTTGAACAAGAACCTCTCGGCTTGGCGCCCAGAAGCACGCATTCTACCAATGGTGACGTCCATGTTGACTTACAGACCGGAGAACCAGCCACAACAGCACCTCCTGAAAATATTTTCGAGTTAAGCGAATCGAATATCAATAGCATGTTAGTTGCAAACGAGGGTTTAAACACCACGGATGGAGTTGCCAACTCCAGCAACGGTGGTAGCCACCAGGCGCAGAACAAAGCAGGAGACGAGGACGAGAGCGACAGCGACGATAGTAACTATAGCGCGAATTCGGATTCTTCGGTCGATTCTGAGACAGCCCGGATATTCGAGAACGGGCCTATGGCGTGGCTGAACAAGCAACGAGCCCACGGAGCTACCGCTATCGAGGTGCTGGACAAACTAACTGTCACACTGGTAAGGGGTACATTTGCATTATAGCGAAGTATTGTGTTGAGCGAATATGTTGGACATGCTGTGTTACAGCTTGATTGCATGTTATATTTTCTATAATGGATGTACTGTGTCATAGGCTACGTATTCTCTTTGGCGTTCACACAACATATATATATTGTTATATTATTATATTATATATATATATATATATATATATAATATGTGTGTGTATGTGTGTGTGTATGTGTGTATGTGTGTGTATTTATATATTGTATGTTTGTTTGCTTATTTGCTTGTTTGCTTGTTTGTTTGCTTGTTTGTGTGTGTATGTGTGTAGTGAGTATGTGTGTATAGTGAGTATATATATATATATATTATACAATTCGGGTTCGTTCATCAGTTACTACATACATCCGCTGCAATTACCACGTGCGTATCTACGTCAAATATTCGTGTATTAGATACGAATTCCGTGTAAAAGTGATATGCTATTTAAGTCAGCCGCAGTGCGATGTACTGAACACTATGAATTCTCTAGTCTTTTACACTTTAGTGCGACAGTTTGAAGCTGCAACAGTACATTGATACTTTGTATGCCCACACTTTAACAGACTGAAGATATGACAAATTGGGATGAAGAAACTCTGTGGAAATATGCACTTTACGAAGGTAACAATCTGCCTTCGCGGTAGTCTCGATGTAGTCCTTATCCAGTTGTTAAGTCCAGTGGACGAGAGCAGGCGTTTTAAAGGGATTTGGTTTCAGTATGTCAGAACCAGCAGATTGGTTTGCTTCGTTCGATCTTGAGATCTGCTATATCCCACATTGAGCAATTCTGCCGAACTGATGCATGTTGAATGCACCTATCACAGTGTCTTTGTAGTGAATTGAAATACTGCTTTACGAACACGTATCTCTCGCATGACTCATCTACTCGGAGGTCACTACAACGGAACCCAAGATCATGTACTCCCCAAACGCAGTGCTACAGTGCATAGAGTTTATTCAGGGGGTTCTCGGAGAGTATCAGCGCACAAACCTGGTTTGTACAAGCCTCTGGTCAGTATAGCGTATACTCCCTATACACTTTGCTCAACGAAGATTTTGACTAGCAACTCGCACTCCTCATATACAGTGAAATGCTTGTTCAGGATGTTCTCGGAGAATATCAGTGCACAAACCTCGTTTGTACGAGAAGACCAGCCGGTGTCCAAGTTGGCCACGCTCGACCTCTCCGGAATCGCACGGTATATCAAATCGGGACAGTGTAGGAATATCATCATGGTGACTGGTGCTGGCATCTCTACTGGTATGTATTCTTGGTCGTAGCTGGGTCGTTTGGTTTACGGATTGTATCTAGTCGCCTGGCATGTATTTTATCATGCAGCTGTTTTGTATTAATTCAGCAAATGATGAAGTTGATTTGTCGTTTTGTGTGTGATTGCTCGGAGTCGGCGTGTGCTTTGTGTGCGTGCCTGACTTGCTATTACCCTACACTAATTGGTTCTCTTTTTAAAAGTGTATGCATTCCGCCTACGATAGCCCTTTCTTTGTTGTTGAATTGGGTTAGTATGTATTGTGCGAAAAAAAATATCGTTTGAGATCAACTAGGCTAATCCTCTCTCTCCCCCCTCCCCCTTATTCCGAATTACCATACTAAACTCCTATATGACCTTGATCAAATATTACAACAGCGGCCGGCATCCCTGATTTCAGAAGTCCTGGAACTGGTCTATACCACAACTTACAGAAGTACAAACTGCCTTACCCTCAGGCAATATTCGAAATTGATTTTTTCAAGGTGTGAAATAGGCTGTATTTATGGTGCTCATTTTATGTCTGGTTTAACACTTGAATATATTTTTCACTGGAGATGAATACATGTTGTTTAGTATCCATGATATAGCCTCAATAGCGAGCAAATGAGCCACTTGACAGCTTCGAAACTGACAATGCACGATTTTAACCATGTCTTCACAGAGAAACCCCGTGCCCTTTGTAGTGCTTGCGAAGGAGCTGTACCCAGGGTCGTTCTTGCCCACTTTATCCCACTACTTTTCCAAGATGCTTGCTGACCGCGGCTACCTGAAGCGACACTACACACAAAACATTGATACCCTCGAGCGGGTGGCAGGACTAGATCCTGACCTGTTGGTAGAGGCACATGGCTCATTCAATACAGCGAGATGCATAGAGTGCCATAAAACCTATCCGTCGGATTATGTAAAAGGTATGAGATCTGGGTTTTAGGCGATTTATAAAGAGTAAGGATTTAAGCTACTCACTCATAGGTCAGTAGCATGCATTTTGATTACCGATGTAAACCCCTTGTGTAGCGTGTGATCTTCCATGTAAATGTATTCCTTGTCTGTGGCGGAATGTTTTGCGGTGCTCGTCTTTGGTTGGTATCGGGGGTCATTGAACTGGTGCAATGTATATTGAACAAGTACATGCATTGAAGTACATCTTGCAATATATTCGTTCTCTCTCTGTTGCTTAAAACCAAATCCATTTTACCCTAGATTTAATATTCGCCGGACATATACCTACTTGTGAAGACTGCGAGGCTTGGATAAAGCCGGATATTGTGTTCTTCGGTGAGGGATTACCAGAGCGCTTCGGTCAATGCGTGTCAGAGGTGACTACTGAACGTTCGCGATGTTGATTCAGCGTTATCATCTTCATCCGAAATCCTTTCTTCGTGTGACTTCACGTCTTGTTGTGAGCCATTTATGTGGCGTGGGTGTATTGCAGACTGAATCAGATACTCTTATCTATACATGTTGTACTCGATAATATTAAGTCGGAAACAAGGCGAGCTATTGCTATTCGTGTGCAATTGAAGCAGACTTGGACTGATACAAATTGTACTATCTGCAGTTCCAAAAAAAAAATCCACTTTGTTTTCCTTCGTTGAATCGAAATGTATTTTCTCTATCCACAGGATTTCCCAGTGTGTGATCTGCTGATTGTTGCCGGCACGTCTCTGAAAGTCCAACCTTTCGCGTCGGTCATTGACATGGTCCAAGACGACTGTCCGAGACTCATGCTCAACAAGGAAACGTGTGGAAAGGTAGCGTCCCTAGCTTTGACATGGTACTCTCGTAGCCTTGCGTCTTAAATATCTTTAGTTGTGATGTACATATCGACCTCGATAATCGTATCGGATAGTTCCCGAATACGTGTGTAGTAGGCTAATTAGGTACGACAAGCTCTGGACCTACAATAGACGCACGTGCATTGCGAGCACCAAAATGTATTAGGTACGTTCAGCAGCCTCACGTATAGCGCTTGCCATTTGCTTCTCGCTACAGTCACACCCGATGATGCGTATGATGGGCATCCGCAGTGGCTTTGACTTCGAGTCCAGTGAGAACATAAGGGATGTCTTGAAGCTGTGCTCCTGTGATGATGGGATTTTAGAATTAGCCGACCTTCTGGGCTGGAAGGTGCGTAAACCCGTATCACTCTTAGTGTGGAGATGGTAGTCTGTATGTATTTAGGATGTATAAGTATTAGTCGTTCGATTCTCTTAATGCGTGGTTGATGGTCTAGGTTTTGTAGTTGCACATCTTTGTATAGTTCCTCATTCCCTGATTTAAAATGTACGGTGGTTTTGAATTTTTTGTTGTCATTCCTCAACGTGATTGGCGCGCCGCTCTTTACTTTGTTCATCTCCCGGGGTGCATACTCGAAACAACCATCGCAGCATCTACTAGCTGTAGTTTCTTATCGCGGTCACCAAGGAAGTTTATGATATGGTGCAGGATTAGGTTTTCATACCCCCCATGGCGGTCATTGATTAGTATACTTCATATATTATGAAGTGGGTTAGTTATACCCCTATCATATCATAAGTGGTTCTATTATATGCTTCCGGATGAGTTGGTTACATCCCCAAGCGGTCGGCTATTAGTGTCATCCTATAGTATGACGTGAATTGGGTACGTGCTTATCTCGTTACTAAGCGGTTTTGCTATATGTTTCAGGATGAATTGGTCGAGATGGTGGCTCGAGAGCAGCAAGCCCTCAGGAGGCGATGGGAAATCGAAGCCACCAATAAATCACCGCGCGGAGACGGTTTCTACGAGAAACACGTGTCTGTGGATTACTATAGAGAAGAGGTACTGCCCAGACTACCACCACTTAAAACCTCGCGCTTGAGCTCAGAATCATCGTCCGTCAACAATGGGAGTGACGACGATGAACCTGGTGTTGCGACAACGGGCGTGGACAGCGCAGATGTTATCAGTCAATCATGTGAGAAGGATGGGGTGGTTGGAGACGGTGTTGGTGGTGGCAGCAATGGGGTCAACGGCGATGGTTTGAGTGTGGGTCAGAATGCGCAGCTTTCTACGGGAGGTGCTTTTGCGGATGATAGCTTAATCGGTTCCAAACCGGAGAGTATTGCACCTGGTAATGTAATGGTGGGAATGAATGCGTCGGATCCCGCAAGTATCACGGTCGAACCCTTTCAGGATTTATTAGGAGGTAATTCAGAGTTAACCGCTGTTAGTCCAGGTTTAAATGCGAATCCAGATTTAACCGCGGCTCCAGGGCATACCCAGGCAGGTCTTCAGGGTGCGGCTGCTGATAGCATAGATGTAAGGATAGCGGACCCTAGTTCAAATGTATCTCTAGACTTAGAGGGTATCCAGGATGACGTTACAGGTTCTTGGCTTGGGGTCACGGCGCCGTTTTCTGATACATCTTTGGACTCTGTGCTTGCTGGGACAGATATCCCGCTATTGCCAGACGTCCTAGTTGACGGTAGCAGCGATCCTCAAGTGAATCAGTTATACCCAATACCACCGACGCATGATATAGAATCTCTTTATAACGTTGGTCCTGGGAACATTCCGCCTGCGTTCAACCCTGATATTGTGTTGGGTACTGGGCTCCCTGCAGCACCTGTGAGTGCAACCCCCGGCGTACAAACCTCCTTGGGAAGTACGAGCTTATCAACCCCTTCGACTACCGTTATGGAGACTTCATCGAATACCGGTATGTCCAGCATGGTACCTGCAGCCCTGCCTGCAGGACAAGAACAAGCGATTATAGACACCGGTGGTGAACAGCCTGATCTGGGCGGTGCGGCACCGCATAGTAAGCCTTCTGTGGGGGCAAATACTGAGCAAATTATGAATAATGTTAGTTAGAAACAACTTCAAATAATGACAGACAGGGAGTTATGGATCTCGATGGCGACCATACCCTGCCGGGTGATGCGGAGGCTAAACACGCCAAATAGCAGAAACCCCAGCAGAAGCGCATTAAGATGGTCTAGTGCCGGGCCTATTTACTTGAAATAAATAAAATTAGTATTCAACTTCCACATAGCAGTCGAGAAATAGCGGCCTGATAGATTGGAAAAGCAATCCAAACTCAACAGACAAACCTCTCTGGCCAATCTTGTGTCGAATGTATACAATATGGCAAACTGTACGTCCGAACGGTATGCACTTCGCGACTTTGTATAGCCATCTTTTGGGGGAAATCTACTTGCGTGACAGTTAAGCCGCATCGTTGGCCAGTTCCAATTATGGCATTTGCGTCCGTATGAATTTACCCTTCATCTCCATGGGCTACTAAATCATTTTTATTGGTTTCCCTGCGCGCCTTCTTGACTTGTCCTTGTATGCCGTGAAAACACTATGCCAACCCTTGTTTTCGCGGGCATGGGTAATGTTCATCAAACAAACTCAAACATAAAGGTGATGAGAGTATGAAATTTCACATTGAAGTTAGCCGTCGAACCAGATGGTCACATGAATCCATATGAATGGCTCAGGTGTTCGTTACGGCATCGCATGGGTACTTCTGTCATGCAACTTGCGCTATTGGTCCGAAAGAAATTTAAATAGAGCAGGAATATTGGTAGTTTAAAAGACCTTCAAGGCTTCTGTGAGTATAACACGTTGGATCTCAAAGCCAGGTGGAATGCATCCCTTGGTAGTACGTGCCCGAATAAATACGGTAAACCGTTTCAGCCAAGAAATTTATTTATTTTAAAGCAAATCTGTGTAAAAGTTGAAAGCAGAGCGGTTTTTAGAATACTGAAAATTCACAAAAGAGGTTGGGGTAGAGTACGGCTGCAAAAAACGGGAGTATAGATTACAACGTCTAAGATACCAACCTGTATAGTGTAAATAAAGGAAGTACAAAAATCCAGTTTGTAGTAAGACGTATAAGATAAGTGTATCTCAACGTACTCCCCTCGTACATGGGGAGGCGCTATTCATTTATTGAATTATATATATTGCTAGCACATTGATCATGTGTTCTATTTTAATCAGTTATAATCTTATTGAATATAGCAGTTTCAAAATAATATACCCTAACTATTTTAAATAAACCCTACTATTAAATATACCCTGTTCAGGGATTCCTGACTACAAGCCCTCTAAGGTGAAGTTTTATACGTGTGCCAGCTATGAGAATAGAAAGGAATAGTTGGTGTTCCTCAGAGAGCTAAAGCATTGAGCTAGAGGGCTCGGTCATTTGTTCACCACACTAGCATGTCACTAGGAGTAAAAGTATTATATATATATATATATATATATATATATATATATATATATATATATATATATATATATATATATATANAGTA